CTGGAAAACACTGCGGGGTTTCATGTCGTAGAGCCACAGAGTGGTTTGGCTTGGAAGGGCTGAAAGCCCATCTCGTTTGGGTTGAAAGCTCCTCTCGTTCCCGGCCCCTGCCGCGGGCAGGGACACCTTCCACTAGACCAGGCTGCTCCAAGTCCCGTCCATCTCCCCCACCACCCTCCTTTTCTTCTCCGCCAGGTCCGTGCCTTCCACCACGCCTTCAGCACCAACGACTGCTCGAGGAACGTCTACATCAAGAAGAACGGCTTCACGCTGCACCGCAACCCCATCGCGCAGAGCACGGACGGGGCGCGCACCAAGATCGGCTTCAGCGAGGGCCGGCACGCCTGGGAGGTGTGGTGGGAGGGCCCGCTGGGCACCGTGGCCGTCATCGGCATCGCCACCAAGCGCGCGGCCATGCAGTGCCAGGGCTACGTGGCCCTGCTGGGCAGCGACGACCAGAGTTGGGGCTGGAACCTGGTGGACAATAACTTGCTGCATAACGGGGAGGTGAACGGCAGCTTCCCCCAGTGCAATAACGCGCCCAAGTACCAGGTGAGGAGGCTTGGTGCGGGTCTCGTGGGTGCTGGCTGTCCCTCCCCTGTCCTGGCTGTTCCTCGGGTGTCCTGCCTGGCTGCTGAATTGCTTCTAAATGCCCACTTGAGGGTCTCTGTGCCTCCCCTGTAGAAGGCAGATGATTCTGCCTCGCGAGCCCTTTCCCCCTTGGTTTACTGCTTCCACAGGCTACACCTGTCTGGTGTTCAGTGCACCTGACCCTGGGTTGTTTCCACACTTTAATCTCAAACGCTGAGTGTGAAGCGTGTGCCGTGCGTGTCTGCTTAGACACCGTGTTGCTTTTTGGAGTAAAAGCTGAAAAGACTGTTGTAGCCTCGTGAAGCAGTGACTTGCCCCACAGCAAGGTGAGTGTCTGAGCTGTTTTCCCCCTTTGTTGTTGTCTGGCAGGGTGAGCTGAGGTTAGTGCTTAGGTAAGAGTCTTCCTGCAGCAGTGCTGAGTGCTGCGTTTGCTGGCTGGCTGCCTTCCCGTGGGTGACATCCCTTGGCTGGGACGTGATGTTCAGATAACTTCAGGGTATTAAAGAGCAAATGCTATCCCACCTTTTTGTCCTTAGGGAAGTGTTTGTCTTTGTCGTTCTGCCTGCTCACCCAGCTGCGTTTTGGCTACTGGGTTTGCTCGTGTTACTGCTTGAACTGGATGCGTTGTCATTTCCATCTCATAATCACGAAATCGTGGAATGGTTTGGGTTGGAAGGGACTCTAAAAATCATCTAGTCCAGCCCCCAGTGCTGTGGCTTTGCACTGGCTTATGTTTCACTTGTGAGTGAAGATCTGTGTAGCAACTTGCATCTGATATTCCTAAATTTCATGTGAAAGTTAAAATCAGCAATCCTTTGGTGTATTTTGTGTTTATTAGGACATGTGCAGTGATCTGCTCATAGAAAACGTATTTAAAGGGAAGACAAAAGTGTGTCAGTGTTGGTTGGAAGAAAAATCTGTTGGCTGGAAGAAATCCCCAGCACTGGGGCTGGTTGGAGAAGAGTCAGGAGTTTGTGTGGCGCCTGCTGTGCTTGTGGCTGCCCTCTGGGACTTGTATTGATGTCTGAAATAACCCAGGGAGCTCTGTGCCTGCCTGGATCAGAGTCTCCTGCTGAGATCCGTGTTGGTTTCACTCGTGTGTGTATATACTCTCGGTTTTTCATGGTTATTTTACCTTTTATAGTGGAATTTCCCCCAGCCTTGGTGAGGAAACACCTCTGTCAGCCACAGCACCTGCATATCGGTCTATTCTGGGATTTTTTTGTAGGTGGCACTTGCCTTTCTTAAAAAATGCATTGTCTTTAAAATTACTCCTCACAAAGGAGAACCTGCTCAGCAATAGCAGCAGCTGAACACCGAGCTCAGGGATCTTGGAGGCCATGGCAAGGTTTCCAGAGCACCAGGCACTCTGTGCTCGCTCTCAGTGCTCTCACAGGTTTGTATGAGAAGGGTCATGTTTATTATCATAAACAGGTGGTGGGTACAGGCTGCCCTGCTTCAGAGGCACTCGGGATCGTGGTGAATTTGAGTGAAATTGGGAAATTCCCATCGTTAAAGCAATCAAGCATGAGAAGCAGGAAAGCCTTGCTTTAAAATTCTCTGCTGTGTTGCACTTTGCATTATTTTTATCTCCATCTGAGCATGCTGACTCTTTCTGTGTGTTATTTTTATTCCACTTCTCCTGTCCCTGTTTCCAGATAGGCGAAAGGATCCGAGTTATCCTGGACATGGAAGACAAAACGTTAGCGTTTGAGAGGGGCTATGAGTTCCTGGGAGTTGCCTTCAGAGGACTGCCAAAAGTTTGCCTGTATCCAGCAGTGTCTGCTGTGTATGGTAACACAGAAGTGACTTTGGTCTACCTGGGAAAACCTCTGGATGGATGATGTGGATTGTTTCGTTGGGACGTCAAGATGTGGATGATTGGGAGGAGAAATCTGCATGTTGGTTAGAGGGAAACGTGTATTAGAGGAAAAAAAAACAACAAAAAAGCGTGGGTGTGTGTCCAAGAACCATCGAGGGAACCACACTGGGTTTGGAAACAGAGGACCAGCCATACATCAGGAATTGTGTTACATTTCCTATTTCTACCAGGCCAGAAAAAATCCTCAGGGCTGCAGTTGGTTGAGTGGGAAGCTGACACATGCATGTTGCAACAGATTTCATTGCTAAGATGGCAGTGTGACCTCAGACATTTCAGAAAGGACTTGAGACAAAACTGCTTGAGGAAATTACTCCGAGATTTGTAAGTGGTGTGTTTTGTGAGAGACTCCCATTTCCAAGCTGCTTGTTCCTTCCTTCCTTCCCTCCTCGGGGCCAGCGTGGGGGCCGGAGCAGAGCGGGGCTGCTGGGGGTGTTCCCAATTTTTAATGTACTGAGAGGCAGGGTCTGTGTAACTGCCCTTCTCCAGTGTAACGACACAACACGTGGGCAGCTATTTTTAAGTGTATTTTAAGGGTTGTATATACAGAACACGTTGAAAAGAACAGGTAAAAGAAAGGGTTTGCCTTTATTCTAACTGGAACATAATTTCTTAAAGGGGAAAAAAAAATCACCCCCCTCGGTGACATCAGAGCACACAGCTGGGGCAGGTGTCCAGCGTTCGTGTCAGTGCCCTTCTGTTGTATCCTAATGTGTTTTGGGATGCTCTTGTGGAGTATGGTGCTACTTTGGGTCGTTTCCTGTGACAGTTTCCATGGCTTCTGTGACAGGCTTGTCCTCTGTAAGAAACACAACACGTTTCCTTTCACCAAACTTGCACTCCCCTTGGGAAAGGAAGGCTCAGCACAGCGCTGAGCTTGCCTTCCTTTCCACATCAAACCCACCAACTTTTAAAAGCATTCTTACATTTTCTAATCACTGCTGCAAAGTGTTTCGAGGTAACGAGGAAGGAGCATTCACTTTCTGCATCCAGACCTTGGTTTTGGCTTAAATGGCTTTATAAGACCTTAAGGCTTGGCTGAACCTTTCTTTAATTAAATAAAATCCCCCCAGTACCCGAATATTCACCTGCCCAGGAGGAGTAAAACTCTCACCAGCCCTTTGATGGGGATTCTGGATCATGTTCAGTGTTTGGGCTCTTCACTTGCACTGGTTTTCTCAAAGCCAGGCACAGACCCTCAGGTGTGTCCGTGTGCTGGTATGTGCAGGCTGGGAAACTTCCAGGTGTAGTGAGGAGGGGCTCCCTGGTGAAACCACTTTGCTCTGAGGCTGGAAGGTCTGCAGGGAGCCCCAGAAGGGCTCTCTCGTGGGGCAGTAAAGCTGTGAGTCCCATGACTGGTTTTGTGCTGGTTGGTGTTTCCCAGAGCTGCCTGAGCTGTTTCAGAGCTACTTTTCAGAGAGGGAGAAGGAAATGTTTATACAACCTCTTTTTTTTGCTTTTCTTGCACTGGAGAATGCCAGTTGCCTAATGTCAGACACTGGCAACTCTCTGAGCATGGCAGAGGGAGGAATTCCCCTTAGCCTGTTGCTCATCCCCCCCAATTCCTCAAGGAGAGCAGTGCAAGGAGGTGAGTGAGGCTTTGCCCTTGGAGTGCTTTTTGCCTGGTAGATCACCAGGTTCTGCACTGGAACTGTGTGAGTCATTACCATTTAAAGGATTTTAAAGTATTTATTTGTTTTGTGTGTTCATTGCTGGAAGGCACTGTCGAGGTCTGTCCCCCTCCTGCCTCAGCCAGGAGCGAGGAGGTGTTTTAGGTGGTGGTGAGAGCAGCTGAATAAAGGCTGTGGTGGGATGGGCATCCCAGTGCCTCCAGGACAAATCTGTTACAAAGCATTGATTGTACTGGACTGTATCTGCAGAGCAGAACCATGGGGTGTGGAGTTGGGGATAAAGGAAACAAAACCCTGTCCAATTTGGGAAAATAAATAGTCCCCGGGATGAATGTATTCTCAGTGCAGTCCTGAAAGACGTGACCTCTGTGCTTGTCCATGATCCAGTTAGAGGCAAGGAAACCCTGAGAACTTCCGAGGAGTTTTAATCACCAATTCAGATTGATTTCCATTCTTCAGACTGCGTCTTACCCTCCAAATAATTTCCCTCTAAATAATTTCCCTCTCAATCAGAAATGCTGAAAGTCGAACATTCCTTAAGGGTGGGTTTGGGTGGACTCACTTATGTAAGATTATAACTTATTCCTGGAGACCAATGCTGGCTGTACAAAATATTAAAATAAACTCTGCTACCATTCAGAAGGATGTGTCGGTGTGGATTGTTGGAATGGCACCTGTGGAATCCCCCAGATGGGAAGAAGGGAGCTGCAGTTTGGTGCACCAGGAGGACGGAGCCGCTGGGACTGTGGTTTGCTGTGTGACTGCTGGAGAATGGAGTCTGGTGAGTGGTTAACAAGGGATTGGAAACTCAGTGGTCTGAGAGCTGTGCTTGGGAAACTGCATCCTCTGAAACAGCTCAGCACTGGGGGAAAAGGCATTCCTGACTGCTGGAGGCCTCTGGATTGGGGTGGGGTGGTCACTGCTGCAGCCACACTGCTGTATTCAGGGGCCTCCTTCCCACGTCAGCTTCCCACTGTTCCCTCAGCTTTCCCCATGGAAGTTCAATGTTTCATGGCGCTTTTAGGAAGAAGCAGGGGACTGTGTTGTAAGCTCTGAGGCACTTCCCAAACTTTCTGCATCAAGAATCTGTTTTTAAGCAGTAAATTTTGGCCGACATCCCTGTGAGCTCCTTCAGGAGCAGAGGGGTTTGGTGCTTGCCAAGAAGGTGGATTTGCTTTTTTTTAGCCTGAGGTACTTCAGGGTCAGCTGAGCAGCTGTTTGAGGTATTTTTCTAACCCTGACAAGGGATTAACTGCTTTGGTCAGGGAGAATATCAACTGTTCACAGGCCCCCAAACAGAAATCAGCCAAATTCACAGGTCTTGGCTTTGGAATCCTGCAGGACACCAGGATTTTGGGAATAAGCAAGCATTTTGTCTATCATTTGAATAAAACCCAGAATTCCTTGTGATTTTAGTGCGCTGTGAAATGTGTTGGGAGCTGAGCAGTTGGTCATCTGCCCCCATCCCACCTCTCTGAGGAGGTGAGGAGCTTGGTGTGGCCACTGGTTTGGAGGCAGAGGCTGTTCTGGGCCTTGGTGGCAGCTCGTGCTGGCCCAAAGCCACTTGTGTGACTTCTCAGGTGCTGATGGCTGAAGTGATAAATCAAGATGGAGCAGGAAACTCACCCTGGGAGGGGTATCTCCTGGAAAGGGGTGGGTTTTTTCCCCACTTGAAGACGCAGCAGTGAGTGTGCATTTCCGAGAGCCCCCAGTGCCTTCCCCCAGCAAACCCCAGTCGTTTCTGTGCCCCCTGTTTCAGGTGACAAAGCCAGGCAGGAGCAGATGGACCTGGTGGTGTGGGCTGAGCCTCTGCTCCTCGGATGCAGCTGTGCTCTTCCCTGCCTGCCTCGGAATCCGACAGTGAGAAATCCAACTTTCCTCCCTGCTCATCTGTGATCTACATTTCTAAACTCCCTGAGCACACGGGTGTGTTTCCAGATGGCTGCCTCTATTTTTTTTTTTTCTCCTGCCTCTATTTTTTTTTTCTCCTTTTCCATTTTCCCTGGGATGATGACAGCAGTGATGAGTTAAAATAAGGCTCAGCCTGATCATAGTCTGATCATGCAAAACTGATTTTCTCCAAGTATTTGAGATATGACCAGCCCTCAGTCATTCCTGAGCCTGTGTATTTCCATACAGATGTTTCAGTCCTAAATCTTTACGTGTTATAAATAGCTCTTAGATATATGTGGTTTTGTTTGGGTTTTTTTCATTTATATACAATGAAATCTGCAGCCAGAAGGCAGCATTACTGAAACCTGCACTACTGAAACCTGCACTAAGGTCCTCTCTAAATTTACAAACCAGGTTTTTAAGGGGTTGGGCAGTGGCTGTGTTTGATTCTCTAAGTGACAGAGGCCCACCTCGCAGCACAGTATGATGCATTTGAAACAAAAATGAACGAAGCAGTGAGTGAACACAGAAATATTTTCCTGCAGTGCTGCTGAACCTGCTAATTCATCCCTTAAGCAGGTTTTTGTCTCCTGCTGGATGATGGTGTGTGACTTCTGAAGGAACTCTGCCACCTCCCCAGAAGAGGGCAAAGCTACAGCACTGTGGGAACCTTGTGGAGCTTCTTAAGTGTTGTGCAAACTAAATGTTTAATATGGAACCTTCTCCCTTAGCATTTGCTTCCTGTCCTCCTCAAAAAACAAAACTAAAAACCCTCAATGGAAGTGGATGTTGGACATGGATTTTTTTTTAAATTCACTCCTTTGTTTAAACCCTGGGTTTAATTAGGCTCAGCAAATATTTGCATTTCAGAAAATGACTTTTAGTGACAGCAGACTGAGCCAAGGCTCTGAAATCACCTTAAAGGATTGACAGGGATTTGAGAGGCTCAAAAAAAAATGTCCCTGTTGCTATTCAAGTTCCACTCTTTCCCAGACTTGCTTTTCTTCCTCTCAGGCATTTATGATCAGGAAATAGTGATATCAGCAAAAACTTATTTAAAAAAATGTCATTGCAGCTGAAAGAAAAATCAGAATAATTTAAAAGGGATTTAAAAAAATAAAACTGGTTGTACGTTATGAGTGTTGTTTGTTCTTCTGCAATTTTATCAGGTCAGGAATTGAATGGATTTTCCCTCCATGCCTGCACTGGCAGGTGTGGTGTGAGCTACCTGGAGTGGTTTCATGTCTGCCTGACTTATTTTGTCTTTTTAATGCTGAGCATCCCGTGCTTAGGAGAACTCAGCCTTATCCCATCACTTTTAAAAAGCAATTTGAGAGAGTAAACTCTGCCAGCTCCATTCTGTGACTTTAGAAAGTGCTGGACAAACCTGCCAGTGAGGAAGTGGATGTTGGCCAAAGTGCTTTTTGTATCATATTCCAAATCCTGCAGTGGTTAAAGCTTTTCATAGAGTCACACGCTGGTTTGGGTTGGGAGGGTTGGGTTAAAGCTCATCTAGTTCCACCCCCTGCCATGGGGCAGGGACACCTCCCACTAGACCAGGCTGCTCAGCCTCTGCCACTTCCAAATCACATTTGGGGGTTTTTTTGTTGGCTTTTTGTTTGTTTTTTCTGTGCTCAGGTGACATCTGACATTGGGCACCTGAGCCCTTCCACGAGATTTTGTGCAAGAGCAGAGCTGGAGGGTGGGATCCCACTTTGGAAGCAGCCAAGAGATTTTTATCTCAGTTTCAGCATATGATTTTATCTATTCCTGGAAAAATAATTGACAGGAGCAGAACTGGAGCAGAGCTGGAACATTAGTGGGACTCAGGAGAGTGTGCAGGATGGAAACCAGGTGGTTTTACGTGTCCAGGTGGGATGT